CGCGACTCCTGGCTCTGCCACAGGCGCCCGACCCTGGGTACCTCCTGCGCCGCGGCGGGAAGCGACTGCTCGGGGCTGCGAGGTCCCACGCCGCCGTCCCCGCCCAGGGCCCCCTTCAGGGCGCGGTACTCTCGGTAGAGCGCTGGGGGGTGCGGTCAAGGGTCACCAGGTGCCGCCCGGCTCCCTCCCCGCCCGCGCCCTCCCGGCCGCGCTCCCTCCCGCCGCGCTATCCGCGCGCTCACCGCGGGTCTCCTCCGGCGCCGCCTCCACGTCCTCCTGCGGAGGGAGCGCGTCAGCCAGGGGCCGCACCCTCCGCCCCCCGCCCCCGGGCAGCCCGCACCTGGCCCGGCCGCCGCCCGCACCGCCTCCGGAACGCGCGCTCCCAGTCCCGCAGCCGCTCCCGCACGTCCCGCAGCCGCTCCATGGCGCCGGCCGGGCGGCCCCGGGCCCAGCGAATCTCCCGCCTCGAGGGCGACGCGGGCCGCCGGCCTATGGGGGCGCCCGGTAGGGTCGGAGGCGGGGCGGCTCGGCAGCCGCCGCCGGGACAGCCAATCAGGGGGGCCCTGGCGGGGCGGCCAATGGGTGGCGGCCACGTCATCGCGGCGCGCGGAGGCGCTGGGCGGGGCGCCGCGGACGGCGAGGCGGGGCGGTTGGCGGTGGCGGTGGCGGCTGCAGCGGCTGTGGGGCCGGTGAGCGCGGGGCGCCGGCCGGAGAGGGAGCGGGGCGGCGTGCGCACCCCGGCCCTGCCTGGCCGCAGGAAGCGGGCGGGCGCTTGGGGCGGCGCCGCCTGGGAGGCGGGAGCGGGAGCCGGGCTGTTCGTCCGCCGGGTGGGGAAGGACCTGGAGCCCTGCGTCTGGCACAGCGACCTCGGGCCCCGGGGGCGACGCACCGGCTTCGAGGGGCAGATCGCGTCGGCGAGGCAGAGGGCGTCGCCTCGAGGGTCTCCCGCGGCTCGAGGCCGGGAGGACCCGGGCGGGGGCGTCTTCGGGGAGAAGCCGGGAGGCGCGGGCCGGGCGGGAGGGGGCGGCGGCCCCTGCACGGAGGCTCCTCCCACGGTGACCACACTGGCTGCTCTCGCTTCCTCTCGTGGCAGGTGCTGGTCGCTGGGTCCTGTCACAGCGAGGTATGAGTCGTCCTCGCGACGTTTGTCTCCAGGCAGCGCAAGGCCGGGGGTTGGCCTTCCGGGCGCCTCCAGAACCAGTGCCCTGAGGACTCGCGTTGTGCATGAGGTTGGGAAGCGCGGGGCCTCTGGAGCCAGACTGCTCCCCCTGCCCCGGGCTCATCGCCCAGGCTGTGACCTTGGGCTGGCAAGGCGTAGAGCTTGGTTTTCTAATCTGTTCCCAGGGGTAGGACCGGGAAGCGGTTTTGAGGATGAGGTGCTTGGCGCGCAGTAAGTCCGCTGAGTGTTGCTGCCGCCGAAGTCAGTAGTAGAGCCGGGGTCCAGGTGCCCCGCAGCCCCAGACATATCCTGTGTGCCTGTCGTTAGCCTGGGTGCGCATTCCACGCTGTCTCTACCCGTCTGAGCAGCTCTTGGTCTGGGGCCTACTGAGTCCCATGGATCTGAGACTGGGTCTCTCACTGTGGATCTCGGGGGTGGCAGGGCGATGTTAAGACACGTGGCAAGGATCTTGGTGGGTGAGGTTTGCTGTCTGTGGGGTCTCCATGCTTGGCGGTACTACTGGACGGTAGTAGTTAGAACCTGAGGGTCCCGCCTGTTCTGGACTCAACGTTCCCTGGGTGCCAGCCTTTTTTTTACCTTTGCTAGTGCTTACTAGGCTGCATCAGTGCTTCTCGGTCCTGTCCAAGGACAACCCGCCAGAGCTGGAGGAGAGTGGGGAGGTGAATTGTGATGCGGCTTCCCGCCCCCTAGCAGTGTCCTGCCTCCTCCACTGCTTGTGTGGTGGGGGAAGGGCCTGAGCTCTGTTCTCCTTTTGAGAAAGAGAGTGTTTCTGATAAGCTGCTTTGTGACTTGGGAGCTTCAAGTACAAGTCGGGTAGAGGGAGGGCCTGCAGAGCAGTAGCCCTGAAAACCACGCCTAGGCAAGCTGGTCCTTGCTGATGCCGCGCTGTTTATGTACTGTGTGAGGACTGCATTTCCCTAGAGGCCCCATGCTTCTGGAGGGAGGGAACTGGGGGGGGTGGCCTTGTTCCCGTTTCCACTTCGCCCATTGCTTAGGCACTTAGCACTTGCTCCTCAGTGCCAAGGTCCTCCACTGAGTGCTGGCGCTGTGCCAAGTGCCATGTTGGGCTTGCTTGCTACCAGTGACGGAGGAGGCCATGGCTGGGTGGTGGCCTGGGGTCTGTCCTCCCCGCTGAAGGGCCCTTCCCTGCAGGTGGCTTCCTGCCTGGCCCAGCGCGATGCACACGCTTGTGTTCCTGAGCACGCGGCAGGTGCTCCAGTGCCAGCCAGCTGCCTGCCAGGCCCTGCCCCTGCTGCCTCGAGAGCTCTTCCCCCTGCTGTTCAAGGTGGCCTTCATGGACAAGAAGACTGTTGTGCTTCGCGAGCTGGTGCACACATGGCCCTTCCCGCTGCTCAGCTTCCAGCAGCTGTTGCAGGAATGTGCCCACTGCAGCCGGGCCTTGCTACAGGAACGCCCCAGCACAGAGAGCATGCAGGCTGTGATCCTGGGGCTGACGGCCCGGCTCCACACCCCAGAGACGGAGGCTGGTACACAGCCTCTCTGCAGGTATGAGCTCACCTGAGGGGCCCTCAGGCCCTGGGCTGGGGCGGCGTTGTGGTGGTGCAGAGAGGTCCCCTGTGAGGCTCCAGGTTACTGCAAGAGCTCAGTGCAGTAATAGTCATGTTGTTCCTGTCCCAAGATGGCTGGGAGTGGGTGTGGGCTCTGCTCCCTTGTCTCCTGCTTCAGCCTACCCGTGCTCCCAGGAAGCATGCCCTGCGAGTGCTGGACATGACGGGCCTCCTGGACGACGGTGTGGAGCAGGACCCTGGTACCATGAGCATGTGGGACTGCACAGCAGCGGTGGCCCGCACCTGCATCGCGCAGCAGCAGGGCGGGACTGTGGAGCCTGGGCAGTCCCCCCTTCCTGTGGAGGTTCGTGTGGACCTGCGGGTGAACAGGGCCTCATATGCATTCCTGCGGGAGGCGCTCCGAAGCAGTGTAGGCAGTCCCCTGCGGCTCTGCTGCCGGGACCTGCGGGCTGAGGACCTGCCCATGCGCAACACTGTGGCTTTGCTGCAGCTGCTGGACGCGGGCTGCCTGCGCCGTGTGGACCTGCGCTTTAACAACTTGGGTCTCCGTGGCCTGTCTGTTATCATCCCCCATGTGGCCCGCTTCCAGCACCTGGCCAGCCTGCGTCTGCACTATGTGCACGGGGACTCCAGGCAGCCCTCTGTGGACGGTGAGGACAACTTCCGTTACTTCTTGGCCCAGATGGGCCGCTTCACTTGTCTGCGGGAGCTCAGCATGGGCTCCTCCCTCCTCTCGGGACGGCTGGACCAGCTGCTCAGGTGAGCAGGCCCCACTACCGCCCTGCCCTTCCTCTCCCCAAGACCTACTCCTGGTTCTGCCTGTCTGTGACCTCCTGTGTCCCCCATAGCACTCTGCAGAGCCCCCTGGAGAGCCTGGAGCTGGCCTTCTGTGCTCTGCTACCTGAGGATCTGCGCTTTCTGGCACGGAGCCCACATGCTGTCCATCTCAAGAAGCTGGACCTTAGTGGCAACGACCTGTCTGGCAGCCAACTCGAGCCTTTTCAGGGCTTACTGCAGGCGGCTGCGGCCACGCTGCTGCACCTGGAGCTGACTGAGTGCCAGCTTGCGGACACCCAGCTGCTGTCCACGCTCCCTGTGCTGACGCGCTGCGCCAGCCTCCGCTACCTCGGCCTCTACGGCAACCCGCTGTCCATGGCGGGCCTCAAGGAGCTCCTCCGGGATTCAGTGGTGCAGGCTGAGTTACGCACGGTGGTGCACCCCTTCCCTGTGGACTGCTACGAAGGCCTGCCCTGGCCGCCGCCGGCTTCTGTCCTGCTGGAGGCTTCCATCAACGAGGAGAAGTTTGCTCGTGTCGAGGCCGAGTTGCACCAGCTGCTACTAGCCTCGGGCCGTGCGCACGTGCTTTGGACCACAGACATTTATGGGCGCCTGGCAGCAGACTACTTCAGCCTATGACCTCCAGGCCGTGCTGGGGTTCAGGGCTGCTGCAGACCCCTCCTTGCCTTAGGTAGACGGACCCTTCCCTGGCACCCTGCTGGAGGCCTGACACGAGGCCCTGGTCTCAGGTTTCCTTGCTCCTGGGCGCTGTGGGCCTTCTTTAGCTTTGGGCAGTGCCGTTTGGTTTGCCTTGAGCCCGTGCCTCTGACTGGCTGACTGTGGGCTTCAGGGCTGGATTCCAGGCCTGCACGGCCAGATTCGGTTTCGGTGCACTTGGCTGCCCTTGGTGTTCTGGTCCTCTCGGAGGGTGTTCTCTCTAGGCCCTTCCCAAGAGCGGGCTGCCCTGGGGCTGAAGCTGGAACACCGACCTGCTTCAAGGAGCGCTGGGTCTCCCTGCCCTGGCACCCAGGAGGGCTCCTGGCAGGGCTTTGGAGCCAGAAGGTGTCGTTAAGGTACAACGTGCAGTGTGTTTGGAACTCGAATATGTGGTGTTTTTTTCTGTCCTGATTGCTCAGTGACTTGTCGTGGGCTCTGGCGTCATCCCCAACCTGGCTGCTGTCTTCCGGTCCGCTGCCCGCGCCTCCCCTTCCCTGGGCACCCCACTCGCCTCACAGCCGGCCCGGGCCTCTCCGCAGCCCGTCGCCCCCCCCACCTCAGGGAGACCCCAGGTCCTGCCACGGGCTGGCTGGCACCCCTCCGAGCTAGAGGGGAGGGCGGTTCTGGGAGGGGTCTTTTCTGAACCGCCTTGGTAGGGGTGCGGGGACCCCCTCTGGCTGCAGTCCGTCCGCACCTTAGGCCTCCCCTGTGCAGAGCTGGGGTCGGCAGGTGTCCGCGCCCCCCGCCCCGGGGTCCCCCAACCCCCGCCTCGTCCCCACACACAGCGCGCCGCACACTGCGCAGCTTCCAGCCTTTACTGACTGCGCCTGCGCGCGGCGAGCCCAGGAGCCGGCCAACCCGCGCGGCCTACGTCATCAGCTCGCGCCCGCCCCCTCGGCCCGGCTCAGCAGTGAATCTCGTAGGCGGCGGGCGGCTGCAGCGGCAAGCCCGGCCCCGGCGCAGTGGCCGCGCCGTCCGCCGCCTCCGTCGGGCCCTCGGCGAAGAGCGGCTTGGAGCGGTCGATGACGAACATCTCGTGGCCTCGCTCGCCGCGGAGCTCCTCGAGCTGCGCGAAGCTGCAGGGCCCGTCCGAGTAGTCGTTGACGAACAGCGCGCCCTCGCCCGGCGGCCCCGGCGCCTTTTTCCGCTTGCGCCGCCGGCGGCAGATCATGGCGGCCAGCAGCAGCGCCGTGAGCGCCAGCAGCGCAATGGCCGCGGCGACGGCCGTCTGCGTGGCCAGGCCCAGCGCGCGGAAGGCCATGCTGCCCGCCTCCTGCAGGGGCTCGTGGCCGGCGGGGCCGGCGGGCGGGGGCGGCGGGGGCGCGCGCGGCAGCGGCTGCTGCTGCGACAGGTTGACCAGCAGCCGGAAGGGCACGCGGGCGGCGCCGCCGGCGTTGGAGGCCTCGCACTCGTACTTGCCGGCGTGCGCCAGGGTGATGTTGTTGAGGAAGAGCATGCCGCTGCCCGTGTCGGGGGCGCCGGGCCCGCCTGGGCGCGGCGCCCCGCCTTCCGGCCGCACCTGTGCCCGCGGCTGCCCTTCGCGGGGCTGGGCCACCTTCCTCCAGGTCACCAGGGGCTGCGGGTAGCCGGAAGCCTGGCAGGCCACGCGCAGGTCCTCCCCCAGGCTGGCCGTCACCTCCAGCGGCTCCACGTGGACGGAGGGCGGGATGCAGATGAGGCTGCTGCCGGATATGTCCAGGAGACTCTGAAGGGCCAGGCGCGGGGGCTCCGCGCACATGATCTTCTTGTCCCTGGAGCTGAGCAGCCGCTGGCCTCCCTCCTTGATCCAGGCTCCCAGCCAGTGCAGGGCACAGTCGCAGCGCCATGGGTTCTCTGTGGGCAGAGCAAGGGTGGGCAGGTAGCTCACGGGTGGTTGGCCAGGACAGGAGCCCCTGTCACGCCTCCCACAGGGGGCCCCTGCCCCCTCTTCTCTGACCCCAAGCTCCTTGGCCTGTGAGCAAGCTCTTCCCTTCCCTTCCCCTTCCTCAGTTCTGTGATGCAGGTTCCGGTTCTCTAGTGTCTAAGAAAGCCTCTACTTCTCTGAAGTCTCTCCTTGCAACAAGTCCCATCGTTTTGGGCGAACCCTGGTGTCCATGTAGACATCCCACAGCACTAAAACCTCTCAGGTCCTGTCAGCTTTGTCTTCAGGTACTGTGTCTGGAAACGGCAGCCCTACTTTCGTCCTTCCAGTTCCTGCCTGGCTGCCCTGATAGCCCCAGAGTGTGCACGTGCGAGCCCCTCAGCTCCCTCCACGGACTTCTACTTTAACTGTCTTCCAGAGGGAAGTTCCCTGAGCTGTGCCCCTTCCGGCACCCGCGTTCCCATCAGCTTCCTACCACGGGTGCAGGCTGTGTTGTGGCCCTCCAGAGTGCTCCTGCATGGGCTGCAGTTCAGAGCCACCGAAGCCAAAGCCTGCTCCACACCTGGCCCGTCTGTTTCCTCCTGCCACCACTGTGACCAGGAATAAACCTTCGTGTGAGGCCCCTTCCCCCCAGGAGGTACCTGTGAGGCGAAGGACTTGCAGGCTGGCCAGGGGCTGTAGGGCCTCACGGCTGATGGTGCCCAGTTGATTCCCGCTGAGGTCCAGCAGTGCCAGTGAGGAGAGCCCCGCCAGGGCCTGGTCCTCCAGCAGCTCAATGCTGTTTTCCTGCAGGTGCAGCTCCTGCAGTCGCTGAAGAAAGGACACAGATCATCAGGGAAAGGGGGCCCTGGGAGGCAGGTTCCCTTCTGGGCAGGCTAGACTGGGTTGACTTTTCTCCCTCTCACTACTTATGGGAGGACCCTTGCCCTTGCCCACCTAACCCCTCACCGGGAGATGCAGGAAGGTGAAATCCAGCAGCTGCACCAGCTGGTTACCAGCCAGGTAGAGCGCGCGCAGCTGGCCCAGGCCCGCGAAAGCGCCGACTCGCAGGCCGCGCAGCCGGTTGCCGGTGAGCGCGAGCTCGAGCAGGCGTGGCTGCGCGCGGAAGGCGCCGGGCTCCAGGGCGCGCAGGCTGTTATTGTGCAGGTAGAGTCGGCGCAGGGCCGCGAGAGGTGCCAGTACGCCCGGTTCCAGGCGCGCGATGCTGTTGTCCTGCAGGAACAGCGTCTGCGGGCCGGAGGGAGGGAGGAAGGAGGAGTCTTTACCCCGCGGAGGGAGTCTCCCTCTTCCCTTGAGCGCTCCAGTACCCTCGGGTACGCTCACACACCCTCCCTTCGTGTCGCGGGCACCTCTGCCCCGCGCGGTGCCCACCTGCGTCCCGGGTGGAATTCCGGGCGGGACGACGCGCAGCCGCAGGGCGCCGCACTCCACCGTGGCGCTGTAGCAGCGGCAGGCGGCCGGGCAGCCGGCAGCGCCGGGCGGGAGGTCAGGGAACCACAGCAGCCATAGCAGCAGCAGTATGGGCGCCGCCGGGGCCATCTCCCGCGGGACCGGCTGCGGGCCACGAAGCTGCAGCCTCCTGAAGGGCTTCCTTATAGTCCACCCTGGATGTGATGGGCCTCCTGAAACAGGTCGGCAGGCCTGCCCCTAACACTTGAGAGCCAGAGAAGGACATGGATGAAGGCCCACACCCTGTGTGTAGTTTCTGAAAAGTTATAAATCAGTTCAAGCAAATCGTTAAAAAAGAAAATGTTGATTTCTTTCCTTTACAAAAACAATCATGAAGATCTGGCTTCAATTTGGAATTTCAGGTTTCGATTTGGAATTTCCACCGTTCTTGGCCTTACTACACAGGCCATGTGGGGAGAGTCAACCCTGCCTCACTCCCTTGTCTTCCCATCTATCTCCACCCGGCTCTGTAAGGGCTTCCTGCTCATGCGTGTGCACATCTGCATCGGGCTTCCCTCTTCATTCTAGCAACCGGCCACTCCTGGAATCCAAGGTGCAAGAGGCCGGTGCAAGGTGTGAGCTTGGGAACATGTAGGTGGTGAAGCCCGTTGCCCAAGCACAGGCTAAAAGGGCAAGAATGGGCTCTGGGAAGGCCTCCTTCCCCTCGTCCACATGGACTCCTCTTTATGACACCTCCAAAAGCAGAGTCCATAACAAGTGCGCCCCATAAAAGGCCCGAGGCCGCACCCTGCCAGTGTCCAGTCACCTGACCCTGACCCAGCCATTAAGTCTAGTCCTTTTATCCCTAGAACTCATGCTGTGTTACCTGACCCTGGGAGCACCTGACATACCTTGACGGGTAACATGGGCAGAACTGATCCTGGAAGCCACCAGCCGTAGGAAAATGGAGGCACAGCTGCCCCTGCCCTCCTGGGGGTGATGGTGGGTGGAAGAGCTTGCAAGGATTAGGGGTATTTCTCAGGGAACTTGCTAGAGAATGGGGGGATGTGGCACACAATAGGAAAGTCAGTTTAGAAGCCATGGCCTATGTTCTCCCTGCTGGCTTCCAGCAAGGTGCTTCTGCGTTGGGCTCTGGAGCAGCTGGGTGGTAAAAGAGGGCCCTTGGGCCACCAACTGGGTTTCTAGGGTAGTTTCCCCAGTGGGCTGTGGGAGCAGTGACCTGAACTGTGAAGGGATATAGTATGTTGGGCTTTATGCTCGTGCACCTGTGATTCTACAAAGATGGGAAGGCCTGGGTCCAGTTCTGGGCACAGGAAGTTGAGTTTTAAAGGTGGGGACTGGGGCTAAGAAGCCAGCTAGTCTGGGCCAGGGATGGCAACCCTGATGGGGTTTTGTCATCCAGCCTCCAGCCCTTTCCTCCAGTGTCCCACTCTGAACCCCTGCCTGTTTACCAGGTCTCTCTGCTAGCAAGAGGGAGTCATGTGGAAAGGCACCAAGTGGCCTTGGTGTCTGTCCAAATCTTGCTCTAAATTGTAACACACATGATTATTTAAAGTCACTAGAAATGAGGTAGGCACAGCAAAAGTTTTAATGGAATATAGCTTTGGCCCAAGCAGAGGCAGTTCCCAGGTGTCTCGGGATGTGTGTGAACCCCAAGGACCTGAAAGCATACTTTGGGCTCCCGGGAGCCGTTTCCCTGAGCCAAAGGGCTGGCCAAGGCTTGCCCACCCAGCCTCCCCAACAAGTCCTCTCAAGTGGAGGAGCTTCTTGGCTTCCTCCTTAGGATTCAAGGCACTGCGGTTCACAGGGACACCCCCTAGACGCTGACTGGAACAAAAGGGCCGGCGTGAGCAGGGATGAGGGCCCAGGCGGGAAGGGTAGAGAAGGCCAGCCCAGAAATCCTTCTCCCTGGAGGACAGCCCTCTAATCCGGTTGGGTAGAGGGCGGGGCGTCATACACAGGATTCTGCGTTGGCTGTCACCGTCTCCAGGGCGCCGTCCATGCGGGGACTGGAGGGGCGAGGAATCCCTGCGACCCCCTCGGGACCAGCGCGAAGCGCAAGCCGCGTGCCTCGCTTCCCCCTGGTGTCACCTGCACCCCCTCCAGCGTGGGTCTGTCCTGGGCCGGTTCAGGGCAGGGTGTGGTCCCCGCCAGGGCTCCTCCCCTTCTGGGTGCGCGCGGGGCACAGAGCCGGGACGGCCCCCGATCCCGCCCCCATGCCCGCTGACCTCGGGTCGGGCGCCCCCTCACCTGACGCTCCTGCGGCGCGGCTCCCCCGCCGAGCCCGCGGCGCCCCGGCCCACAGAGCAGCGCCGGGAGGGGGAGGGGGCGGGCGCCGCTCGCGCACGCGCACTGGAGCCCCCACGCCTCCGGCCCGGCTTCCCCCCCGCGAGCGAGGGCCAAACCAAATGAAAGGACGCCCCGGGCCCGAGGTGTAGGGAGGGAGCAGAAGGGCCCGCGACCCCGCCCTTCCTCGCGGTCGAGGCTCCGGAAGCCGCAGCAGCACCTCGGACAGCGCCGAGCGGACGGGGCCGCGGTGCACCTCTGCCGCGCACGCGCATTCGGCCGGCGCGCTCTTCGGGTGCGCGTGCGCAGCGATGCGCGGCCGGGACCCTCGAGGAGGGGGGCGGGGCCGCGGATGGGGGTGGGGCGGGGGCCCGGGGCACCTGCGGCCGCCCGCGGTCTAGCAGGCTGCTCAGGGCGGCGGGGTGGCGAGCAGCAGCGGGGCCAGGTCCATGGTGAGGGCGAGGCGGCGGCCTTGCCAGCGCACGTGTGAGGGCAGCGCGGACGCGCCGGGCGGATACTCGAAGCAGGCGCTAAGCTCGAAGGCCAGGGCTGAGCGCACCAGGCCCACGCCGCCCGCACGCTCCGGCGCCGGGTGGTAGAGGCGCCCATTGGCGGCCAGGGGCAGCAGACGCGCCGGCTCGAAGGGCACGGTCAGGGCCTCCCCGCCGCCGCAGTAGGAGAGACGCGGGGGCCCGGGGCCGGAGGCCAGCAGGTGCGTGAAGACCACGGGCCGGTCTTCGCAGCGCAGGAAATTGCGCTCCCTGCCGCAGGGCGAGAGGAAGGGGAAGGAGGTCTCGTAGCGACCGCTGTGGTTGGGTCTCAGGCGGGAGAAGAAGGTGACCAGGAACTGTGGGTCTGGAGGCGAAGGGGCACGGCTGCTTACCATGCCACTGTACGCGGGGCTCTGCTTCCCCCAGGCAAGTGGCTCGCCCTGGGCAACGCCAACGGCTGGCACCGGTTGTCTGTACGCCACCTTGGCCTCGGTCTAGACAGCAGGGCTCTTGGGCGCGGGATGCCCAGCCCTCTGCTTCGGGCAGGCCAGTGGGCCAGTGGGGAGGCCGGGGAGCAGAGCGCACCACGGCCTTGCCAAAGGGACATGGAAGGTGGGGAAGAGGGTGCAGCAGTACCTTTGAAGCAGGTGATGAAGTTCTTCATTTTGGAGTCATCCAGGAAAAGCTGCGGACAGAGGGGCAGGCCATGGCCCATGAGTCCCCGCCGGGAGCCAGACAGGGCCGTCCCCCGGCAGGGAGGCCTTGGGCAGGCCCGAGCCGGGGCTAGGGTCCTCCTTCCTTGCTCGTCTGCACACCGTGTGCAGAGAGGCGAGTGGAAAGTAAACCCCGGTCCCCCACCAACATTCCCGCGTCTACCCCGCATGCCAGGCCGTGCGGGTGCCTGAGCTGCCGTGCTTTGCCCGCTCCTCTCCCTTCCTCAAGTTTCTAATCAGGTGTGCCACCTCCTCCGCGGAGGCTCCCCGATTTGCTTCCTCCCGACACGGTGGATGTCCCAGCCAGGGCTTGCAAGTCAGGCGGGGCGGCCCCGGGGCAGGGGGCAGGACCCGGGGGTGCGGCGCGCGCGAGACGCAGCGGCAGCTCCGCCTGGCAGGCTGGCGGCAGCGGAGGCCGGGCACCCCAATCTCCAGCTCGCCAACCCGGCGGTGCAGTCCCGTTTACTAACCTCGGGGACCCCGCCCCTCGCAGGCCCGCCCTCCGGCCCCACCTCTCCGACAGGTGCGCCCCCGCAGGCCCCGCTCCTGGCCCACCTGGCCCTGATGATCCACGTAATAAAAATACTCTCGCGTCCGGGGCTCCGGGGCCTGGCCCTGCATGTAGGAGATGTCCCCGCCCCCACCGCAGGCCCGGGTCCCCGGGGAGCGCGCCAAGGCCCGGGCGCCGCCCCGGAGCGCCCCGCATGCCCGCCACATCTTCCTCCCGCGCCGGAAGCGACGGGCCGGTCACGCGGGGCTGGCGCTGCGAGAACACGCATCCCCCTGGCGACTGCGGCCTCACACTTCGGGTTCCGGAGAACGTGGGGCTTGCTTTTCCTGGGCGCAGCGCACTCCCGCACGGCGGGGGCGCCCGCCCTGCAGTCCCGCCGGGCAAGGGTCACCGGACGGGACCGCCGGGCAGCGGGGCGCTGGCGGGAACTCAGGCTCTGTCCCTCCGCCGTCGGAGGCTGGCGGCCGGCACGGGGACGAGGTGGCCCTCGGAAGGCCAGCTCGGCTGGCCGGCGACTGCGCGTTCGCTCTGCCTGGAACCAGGGCAGGTTGGGGGCAGGACGCGGCACCCCACTCTCCGCGCAAACGGGCAGGGACTTAAGGGTCGACACATAGCCCAGGTGGCCGCAGACGGCGCAGGGGGACCCGACACCCAGCTGGTGCCTCCTCCCTGGCTCAGCCCCTCTCCCCCATTCCCAGGAAACAGCCTTGCTCCTGGCTCACACCCCTACAGCACCCTCTCCGTTTCCCCATCTTCCCCTGGCCTGTCCACGTAGGTGACCATACTAGCAACAGACTGGCTGCTGGAACGGGCTGCCCAGCCCCCAGCCCAGCCCCCTGCAGAGACTGGAAGAGCACGAGGCGACAGGCAGTGACCATGGCTCGCAAGTGTCCATATGTATTTTATTCACACAAAGTGTCGTCTCCTCTTGAGTCCGTGCGTCAGAGCTAGAGTCTGTGGCAGGGCCGTCCACCCCAGGCCCGGAGACCACCCGACTGAGGACACTACCTCAGGGGACACCCGGGCAGCAGCAGGGCTGGGCTTTTTTGTTTTTAATAATAAATAAAAACTCAACTCTAAAAAATATATATATATATATATATATATATATAAACTGGGGAGAAATTAAGTTTTACAACTGGAACTCAAAATTCCAAAATGGAAAATGTACAAACTGAGAGTCTAGGTACTTCCTACCCCCAGCTCTGGCTTTGAGGAAGGGCAATCCTGGGGGCTCCCAGTTTCCCCAGCTTGGGGCTCCTTCCCTTTGTTCCACTGCAGTTCCCAGAAGGGGATGGGGCAGGGCTTGGTTTTTGGTCGAAGCCAAGAAAGTGGCGAAGAAAATGAAGGAGTGATACCAACTTGCTCTGCACAGAGGACAGGCTAGGACGGCTCAGAGATAAATAGCATTTGGGTTAAAACTATGTCATTAGCAAATTTAGTTCTATCTTTTCCTCTATATCTTTATACACAAGCGGATTGGTGTGCTGGATAGAATCTGAATTTATAGTTACACGAAGAAAAAATACTCTTGCCCCTCCCCCACCCTGCCCCAAGAATGCCTGCCCAACAACCCTGCCCCCCACCCCAGGGGACTTTGGTTTGGGGGCCCCTCCCCACCCAGAGAGAGCCTGCAGGGCCCTGCTCCGGTGGACAGTCCAGTGCCCTGGGACCCCCAATTCCTGTGCAATCTCGACGATGGAGGCCACAGGTGCCAGGGTGCGGGGGGGGCGGGGGGGGGGGGGTCGGAGGCTACGGGCCAGGAAGGAGACCGAGGGGAAGTGCCGGGCAGAGGACAGACAGGCAGCCAGCCAGGCAGGGGGCCAGGCCAGGACTAGGCCTAGCGCAGGAGCCCCCGCCTCCTGCGAGGCAGCTCACGGGGCGGGGTGTGTGTGGGGGGTGTATGGGCGCGGTGTGGGCGGGGAGGGGGGGGGCGTGTGCTCTCAGGCCGGCCGGGAGGGGCAGTGTCGCTTGGCTCCAGGAAACAGAAGGCACTTTCTGGGGGCTGACCGGCCGGCGTGGGCGGGGCGGTGCCCAAGGAACTGGCCACTAGGCAGGGGCGGGAGAGGGCCCAGAGGCGCCCCTCCCACGGGCCCTCTGGCCAGGCCGCGTCCACAGGCCCAGGGCCTGGGGTGGGGGGAGAGGGTGGTGGGGGCGTTCCAGGGCTGGGGCGGGCATGGGCGGAGCCTGGCATGCTGCCTCCGCGGCTAGGGCGTTCCCTCCCCCCTCCCCGCGTGCTCCCCTGCCCGGGCGCCCCCCCGAGCGTCGGCTCTGTCCCCACCCTCGGTCCCTGGGCCCCCCTCCCCGCGCTATAGCACGCCCTCCATGAAGCTGGTGTCCAGGTGCTGGATGAGCACGCGGAGGAACGACATCTCCTTGCGCGTGTTCTCGAAGATGACGCGCGGGTCGTCGGATCGGCAGCGCAGGCAGTTGGGCGCCATCACCATGGCCAGGTTGCTGACGTCCATCTTGGTGACGGCCACGTTGGCGGGCTGCACGAACACCTGCGCGGAGGGGGCAGGAGGGTGGGTCGGGCCGCGGCGCGAGGCGTGCCCCGGGCGGGTGTGTGCGCGTGCCCGTGCGCACCCCCGGGGAGTGTCCCAGGTGTGCGCGCGCGCCCCGGGGTGTGTGTGCCCAGCCCGTACCTGAAGGAAGCGGATGAGGTAGCACAGCACCAGGCGGTTGATGCGCGGCAGCGCGTGCACCACGGCCACGGCGGCCTCGGGGTTCTCGTAGTGCGCGATGCACTGCTCGTAGAACTCGTGCGGGATCAGGGGCTCCTCCAGCTCCCGATACCACAGCTTCAGGAGCGAAGCTGCAGACACAGTGGCGGCGGCGGGGGGCGCGCTCAGCACAGACTGCTGGGTGGGCTCCCCTCGGCTGCTCGGGAGCCGGGGAGTGGCTGGAGGGTTAGGGCGACACAGGGCGGGGGCAGCGTGTGGCGCGAGCAGTGGTGGTGCCGGGCCATACTGGGAAGGCCCAGACCCTGGCGTGCTGGTGCTCCTGAGGACCTGGATGGACCCCGGGCGGCTGGGGTGATGCAGGGAGTAGGGAGAGTGGCAGGCACGGCCGCAAGGACACTGCAGGGTGGGCAGGGGAGGTCTGTGCTGGAAACAGACTGGGAACCGCGGCACCCCTGGGGGACAAGGGGGAGCCCCGTGCTCCAGCTGCCTGCACCGCCGGCTCCTGCTCCCGGGGCTGGGGGCTCACCAGGCACGTGGGGGTCCTCCAGGCCGGTGGGCACCTTCCACTGGTCGACCTGCAGCTTCAGGGCATTCACCTCGTCAATGTCCCCAGGGACTCTGTGGAGGGGGGGGGGTTCTCACTGGGGAGGACTGTCTGCACCCTGACGGTTGTCCCTCCCCCCTCTGCCGCCCCCCCCCCCCCCCCCCGGCAGATGCCTTCATCAGCAGGTCGTCCGAGGCTCAAGCCCACAGGCCTCAGCCTCCCCAGCTCTCCCCTCGGGCCGGGGTCGGTGAGTCCCAGCAGCAGGCTGCAGTGCTCCTTCCCTCCGGGCGGGGACTGTAGACGCTGTCCACAGGTTAGCACCATCTCCTGGCTGCTGGGTGTCTTTCCAGGCTCACAGCTCAGGCCCTGCCTATGGATGATGTCCAAGTGCCCCCTGGGACCCTGATGGCCATTTATACAGAGGCGCAGTCCCCAACCGACCCTCCTAAGTTCAGGCATACTGCCATTCGGGGGCATGATTCTCTGACTTGCCGCCATCATGTGCCCTCCCCGTCCATATGATGGCCTCTTGCGGGGGGCGTGCTGCTCTCTGGCTATTCCCAGGCAGAGGCAAGGCTGGGGCATGGAAGTTGGCCCAATGGTCCCAGTGCCTGCCAGAGACATGGTGGAGATGCCCAAGGCCCCCACCCCCAGGGCCCAGGACGCAGGGCACCTGAAGATGCCTTCTGTCTGGTCGCCGTTGAGTGCCAGCACCTCCTCAGACAGACGTGTCTGTACCCAAGGCAGCTGCCGCTCCGGGTACCGCTCCTTCTGCATGCTCATGACCTCCTGCAGGGCGCTGCCAAACATGGACGGGCTGAACACAGCGTTCTTGGCATGCCGGATTTCCTCCACGTTGGGCTTCTTCAGCCCCTGCAAAGACAGCCCAGCTCTGTGTCCTGGTGTGGTCCTGCTGCCCTGCTTCCAGCCTTCCCTCCCCCACCCCTTGTCCTCTCACCCCTGCTAACTCCAGGCACCTGCCCAGTCAGAGCTGGAGGCACCCCCAACCCCCTGGTCCCCAAATCACCTTGGGGGGCACCTTGCTGGGCCACCAACAGTGCTCTAACTCGTCAGGTGGCCCCGCTGGCTGCCCAGGAGGAAGGTGAGAGTGACTCCTGGAGAAGTGCCTGGGGCCACAGAGGGGCCAGGCTGGCTGATCTGGACCATGTGAGACCTCCAGGGGTGGAGGTGAGGGGGAGAAGCCTGAGTGGGGGACATGCAGCTCCCAGTGATAGGGTTAGTGGATTAGGAAGAAGAGGAGAGGGGAAGCTAGGCTCTGGGACAGTGGGGGAAGGTTCCAGGAAAGGAGGGCCCCAGGGGCTTCTTAGGTATGGTGGTGGGCTGAAGTGGCGGGGCGGGGGGGACAGAGAGGAAGATGGCCAAGCGCCACACCCCCCAAGACCAGGGAACAAGGTCCAGCCATCTGGTGTGACCGGCATGTTCTCCAGAGGGGCTGCGGGAGGGATGTGACTATCAAGCTCTGGCGGACACTGAGAAGGCCAGGGGCAGAATGGGTGTCCCAGAGGACCACCTGCCCGTCTGGCCCACCTGGCTGCCAGCGTGGGAGGAGCCCTGTGATGGGTCTGGGCTCCTGGCCAGGAGGGTGGGTCAGGGTGAGTGAAGGGGGCCACGCTGGTCTTCTGAGGATGCCCTGCAGTCCCAGGCATTCCCCAGGCTGTGAGGGCTGCCTGTCGAGGTCTCCCTCCGGACCCATCTAGGTGTCAGCAGCACAGCCTGCCCAGCCCCACCCGGCCATCTGGGGGAAGCTCGTACCTTCTTGGCCCCAGTCAGGGCTGCCTTCTGTAGCTTGTGGTAACAGTACTTGGCGTAGGTGCTTATCGCCACCCCTGGAAGAGAACGGGTGCTGGTTGGCTGGTGTGTGAGACGCAGGGACCTAGAGAAGCGGCAGCAGGAGAGGTGAGCACAGGCGGCTCCAGCAAGAGCCCTGAGGGCCTGGGCTGGCCTGGCCCACTCCTGTCTATCACTTGCCTGGGGACAGTGGGTGCTCATGTTCCTGGGCTAAGTCCTTCAGAGCAGAAACCCCCATGGACAGGCAAGGGGCACTTCCCTCACCTCAAGGAGCCAGGCTTGGGAAGGACTGCTGACCTGCCCGCGTTTCCCCACCACCAGGAAGGGCAGGCCATGGGCCCCGGGGCCTCCAAAACCCCTGCTCCCCGGGCAGGCTAGCCCTGGGGAGTCCCTAAGAGGAGTAATTTCCACAGGCAACAGGCGTAGAGGTGCCCAGTGCCCTCGGCCTGGTGCTAGGGAGCAGGCCTTAGCCTGCAGAGCCCCGTCCCTCCCAGCCGAGAGCTGCCTGGGCAGCGGTGGGGAAAGGGAGGCCAAGGGGATGGGTGGCATGTGGGAGGGGGTGGCCGCGTCCTGAGCCTGGGGCTCTCTGGGAGGCCCACAACACAGGAAGACACCTTTGGGTTCTGCCCAAGGACTGAAGGCGACAGGGAGAGGACTGGGCTCCTTTCTCAAGGGAGGGAGCTTTCCTAAAACTCAGTCCCTGGCAGAAGTTCTGGCTGGTGGTCATGGGGGAATGGCCAGGGTGGCATTCAGAGGGCAAGGACCCCAGGGACCCTGGCTGGGAGGTTCTCCAGATACAGAAATGAGGGGAAGGAGAGGCCAAAGGGGGGTGAGGGGAGAGGGAGAGGAGGAGCAGCTCCCACACGGGGTGGGTCTAACATGTGTGGCATCGTTCCTGGCCCAGGCGAGGGGAAGGAGGGAAGGAGCAGCAGCTGAGAGACCAAGGACGCACACAGGCAGAGCCTGAGGCACCACAGCCCCACAGAGACAGAAAGGCTGGAATGAGTGCCCCCAGGCTCAGAACCGGCTGCTCTCTGGGGGCTCACGGGGCCCACCTGCCCCAGGGCCTCCAGCCAGAGGGAGGCCAAGTCTCTGCACTCAAGTCCCAAATCAAAACACCCCCTGGTTCTTTTACAGGAACCACCTTCTTGTGGACGGCTGAGCATGTAGAGGTGCTTGGACCCCAGTGGGAAAAACATACCATGGCTCAGCCCCCCAGTCCTTTCATTTTGGATGATCACAGAGCAGTGCTGTTAATATACATGGCGAGGGGATTCTTTTTTTTTACAGTAACCCAAGTGAAAACCGACACTGCCCATTCTCCCTGGAGACTCTGCTTCAGGTCCCGGAGGAGCCGCAGACTCCGGCAACGAGTCCAAGCGGCAGCCTCTGCTGGGCCAGCGCAGGGCGTGGGCCCGGGACCAGTTTGCCCCAGGCTGACCTGGCCATCCTCGACAGGCTCCCGGGGACCTGGAATGCAAAGGGGGCCGTGGGCTGCCCGCTGGCCGCGAGGAGTCGGCCGCAGACTGGGGCTGTGCCCACCTGTCCCTTGGGCGGGTGAGACCCGCTCTGACCCCCCATCTGACTGGGATCCGAAGATCCTGGGGCTGCCGCCTCTCGGCTGGCGAACCTGGTCACGAGGCAGCCTCCTGGGGCCCAAGCTTGCTCCCCTGTAGGATGGGGACAGGGAAGACACGGACCACAAGTCCTTGCGAAGGGCTGATCTCGGAGTTGGCGCACGGCTCAGCAGATGGTAGCTGCTGGTACTGGCTTTTGTGGGTGGACCAGGACTGAGTCTGCGTATGTCCCGAGTCCCAGCAGCTCCCCTGTGCCCTGTCCTGCCATGGGTGTAGCTTCCTGGGCCTGACTGTGGGATGTCTGCTGAGGGCCTGGGAAGATGTGCAGTGCCTAAGGCCAGCCCAGTGACACCCCCGCAATGGTGCGGGGTGCTCCACGTCAGGACCACTGACCTGTCCAGGCCTGTCCAGGGCAAACCCATACCCAGTCTTCTAGGTGGGGAGTCTGTAGGCAGCACTCCCAGCTGTACTGCTGTGCCTGGGGCCTTAGTGCCCCTGAGCCCTGCCCGGCTTTAACCCTGAAAAGGTGGTGGGTGTGGCCACAACCTGCTGGTGCTCCAGGACATGGCTGGGTCCAGGACACAGCCAGGTCCTGGGGCTTCTAGCTCCCTCCTCACTCCCCAGCACTATCTAGGGCCACAGTGCCCTGCTCGGCCCCAGGCCAGGCCCACTTCCCTGCTGCAACCCACCTCCTGGACAGGCTCCAGCCGGAGTTCAGAGCCTCTTTCACTCCTGTTCTAGATGGGTGTGGCCTGAGGGCAGCTGGGGATCCTGGACTCCAGCTGCCCACTCTTGCCGAGGGCAGTGGCCAGTCAGCTTCCCCGGAGAAAGGGGTGTCAAGGCTGAGTGGTATTAGAGGATGAAAAGTAGGGCACGTTTGCAGAGTGAGGTGTGTACAAGGCTGGGGGAAGCGCCAGTGGTGGCACTGGGGCTGGTCTCAGAGCCCCAGTGCCAGGAGGGGAAGTGGACATGGCAGCAGCGAGATCACCAGCTCCCGCAGCAGGGAGGGCACGGTCCTGTGTTAACAGGGCTTCCCTGGAGCTTGGACGGCGGTGGGATGGTGGTGTGGGTCGTTTTTTGGGGGGGGGGGGGCTGTGTGTGGATCTTGAGCCAGGGCCCGGGGGAAGGGTGTGGCTGGTGGGGGAAGTTGGGAGATCTCTGGGCTCCCCTCCCACCAAGGAAGCAATGCCAGACTCTACGCCCCACCCCAGGGCGGCCTGGGCTGGAGGTCAGGGCAGGAAGGCCCTAGGGCACTTCCTCCGCACGCGCTCAGCTAGGGCGCTCCCAGCAGGCCTTGCCCGGTTTGTCCTCACGCCCTTCCCCACCTAGAGCCCAGGGTGCAAGCCGGATACTGTCCTGAGCACCACAGAGCAAAGAGGCACAGGGCAGGTGCGGCCTGCCACGGAAGCCCCTTTGGTGACCTGGGCACCCGGCCGGCACAGAAGCCCACGAGCCTGATGGTTAGTGCCACCCACCAACACCCCTTCCAGCCCAGAAGCGGTTAGAGAAAGGAGGCCAGGCGGCCGAGGCTGGAGAGCAGAGCTGTGCAGACACAGCGCACAGGGGCTCTGGGGAGAGGCCCTACCATCCGGTTCCTCAACATAAGGCTTGGGTTTCTTTCTCAACTTGGACTTCTTCTTAGTGTTCCTTTCCAGGAGCGCTTTCATATGCCGCGTCACTGGGGAGCAAACAGAGCCATGAGGACCACAGAACACAACGCCAGGAGTGCACGCCCACGCGGGTCCCGATGCAGCTAGCAAGGAGGCCCCTGGGCCTGCAGGGGACCGACCCCAGTGGGCTGGGCAGGTATCACACCCCTGCTGGGTTCCTCCAGGCGAAGCAGGGCCGTGGCCAACACCCCGCTGGGGCTGAGGAGGACGCAGCCCAGGAATGCTGTGCTGTGTGTACCCGTATGGACGCGCGGCTGTGCACAGGGGCGGGTCTGGACCACGGGCCTGGGGAAGTCCTGGGGCCCTTCTGAGCACTGCTGACCAGAAAGCTGGCTCCCCTCAGACGGGAGGTGGGCAGGACGATGCAGGGAAGGGCAAGAGGGAGGAGACGCTTCTGATCCGCGGGCAGGCTGGGTCCTGGGCGGTGCTGGAGGAGGTGCTGGGTGATAACAGCAGGCATCTCGGACCCACGTGGGCCGACCTCCCACTCTGCACAAAGAAACTCAGCACGGCTGACAGGCAGCCCTGTGTCCCCTGTCCATCCTGTGCTCTCTGGAAGTCAGCCCACGCTAAGGCTGGGTGTTACGCTCTACTCTGATTGGGCCGTCTAGAGAAATCGGCTGTTACTCTTCTGCACGGGAACCGCTGTCTCATCTACCGGATCATTTACTCTTATCTGCACAGACTTGTGGATGTATCATTTTACAGTGTGGGTTATGATCCAATACAACTTTGTTTTTTGCTCAAATGGCTCCAGTTTTGGCCACCGGGAGCCCGTTCAGTTGGCTCCTGTGTCCTGTGACACTCTCTGCTGTCCCCCCCAGCCCTATACCCAGCTGTTTCTCCAAGGAGCCCTGGTTCCTTGAATGGAAAAGGAATCAAGACCTGGGGGTGAGGTGTGCTCACCGTTACTGGGGCGCTGACAGAGCTGGGACAGGTGTGCCCGTGTCCTATGTGGACACACGTTCCCCAGACAGCCGCACACCAACACCCCCAACTCTGACACGCCCCCACAGGACACTCTAGCCTCCTCTTCCTGCTTGTCTGACGGCTGCGTCTCTCCCTTCTCTTTACAGCGGGAAACTTTGTTCAAGTCCAACGGACCAATGTTTCCCTTGTAGACAGTGCTTTTACTGTCACACATGGAAACCTCGCCTAATTCAAGAAAAAACTTCTTTGTTTTGTTCTGGTTTTATAATTCTAAGTTTTATATAGTTTTATACAATTTTTGCACTGGATACAGTGCATCCACTGTGCAAAGAATGGCTAGAAGCTCATCTTTTCTTTGCATCTGGAACGTCAGCTGTCCCAGCACCACTTGAAGAAGGCACCATCCTTTCTTCACTGAAGTGCCTTCGCATCTCCATGTAAAGCTAACAGACTGTGTATGTCTGGGTCTCGTTCTGGCCTCTGTCCTGTCCCACGGAGCTACTGTCTACCTTTAGCCAACACTCACTCTCCTGCTACTGCAGCTTTATGACAAGCCTTGAGGTAGAGCCGGGTCAGTCCACCAACTTCGCTCTTTGCTATTCAAGCGGTATTTTGTCTATTCATAGATCCTCTGCATTTTCTACGGATTTTAGAATGCACCTAATTAATTTCTAAATTAAAAAAAACTATTAAGATTTTGGTTAGCATTCCGTCTACACATCAGTTTCGAAGGAAGTAAGAGCTTAACACTAATGAGTCTTCTGATTCATAAACGTGGTATTTCTCTCCATTAACTTAGGCCTTCCTGACTTTCAGTAATGTTTGGGAGTTTTTAGTGTAGAAGCCTTAGACATCTTTTGTCTGATTTATCTCTAAGTATCACATTTTTAAATGCTACTTCGGATTTTTTTAAACATTTTATTTCAAAATAATCTCACACTGAACGTCAGGCTCGAACCCACAACCCCGATACCAGAGTCTCATGCTCCACTGTCCAGCTAGGCACTCCCAGATGGCATTTTAAAATGTTCCATTTGTGTGTTGCTATTGCATGGAAACGCCATATTGGTCTTGCGTCCTGCAAACCTGCTCAGCTCACACGGTATTTTTATGCATCTCACAGAAGACCGTGTTGTCTGTGAATAAAGACAATCGCACACTTCCTTTTCCAGTCTGGATGCCCTTTATTTCTCCTCCGTGACTCTGCCCTGGCTGGCCCTGCAGCATGACTCTGAGTTGGTGCAGTGCGGCTGGAGGGCCTTGCCTTGTTCTTGAACTTGGGGGAAAGCACTCTGTCTTTCCCCATTACGCACAATGTTGGCTAGAGGTGTTCTTTGTTTTAATTGTGGTAGAATAAAAACATAAAGATGTAGCCATTTACCCATTTTTCAGTGTACAACTCAGCGGCATCCAGTACATTCACAACATCATGCAGCCTCCACCACATTTATTTCCAAACTTTGTACGTCACCACAAACGGAAACCCTGTCCCCACCAAACCAAAACTCCTCATTCCCCCTCCTCCAGCTCCTGGTAACCTCTAATCTACTTTCTGTCCTATGAATTTCCTTATTTTAGATTTTTCATATAAGTTGTACAGTATCTGTCCTTTTGTATCTGGTAAGAGTAACTTTTCAATGTTCTCCCACTTTATAACATACATCAGAACTTTACTCCTCTTATGGCTGCAAAACCTCCCCCTGCACGGACAGACCACATTTCGCTTATTCAGGTACCTGCTGGACGACTGGGCCAGGCTGTGCAAGTATCTGTCGGAGGGCTCGCTTTCCATTCTTTTGGGGACTGCAGGGTTTTAAGAAAAAATATTTGCCTTCTGTCAGGGTGAAGAGGTTCCCTTCTGTTCCTAGTTTGTTTAGAATTTTTATCAGGTATAGAAATGTTGATTTTTGCCAAATGCTTTTTCTATGCTTACTGGAATGATCACATGGTCTTTCCCTTTTACTCTGCTGCTATGGCAAATTACAGTGATTGATTTTTTAATGTTAAACCAACCTTTCCTTCTTCAGATAAACTTCACTTAATATATTGTTGGACTCAATTTGCTAAAATACTGTTAAAAATTTCTGCTCTCTCAGGGTGCCTGGGTGGCTCAGTGGGTTAAAGCCTCTGCCTTCGGCCTGGGTCATGATCCCAGGGTCCTGGGATCGAGCCCCGCATCGGGCTCTCTGCTCGGCAGGGAGCCTGCTTCCTCCTCTCTCTCTGCCTGCCTCTCTGCCTACTTGTGATCTCTGTCAAATAAATAAATAAATAAAAATCTTTAAAAAAAAAATTTCTGCTCTACGTTCAGAAGGGATACTGTCCGCACTTTTCTTTTTTTGCAATGTCCTTTTATAATTTTGGTATGGAACGAATGGGGAGCTATTCCTTCCACTTCAATTTTCTCAATGAGTTTGTAAAGGATGGCCAAACAATGAACTTTCGGTAAAATTTACCAGTGAAGCCATATGGGCCTTTACTTTTCTTTGCAGGAAGGTTTTAAGTATCAATTCAATTCCCTTAATAATTCTACGTTTTTTTCGTTGTCTATTTCTTACGGGGTCATCTTCGGTAGTTGGTGTCCTTCAAGGAATCTGTTTTCCTCTAAACTGTTCGATTGATGGGCATCAAGTTGTTCATCTGATCACCCTTTGACGCGCTGAGTCTGTCGTGACGTCATCTCTCACTCTTTACATCGGTAATTTATGTTCTCTCTTTGTCCTCATCAGTCCGGCTAGAGATTTATCGATTTTATCAATCTTCTCAAAGAATTAGCTTTTTGTTTCATTGATTCTCTGCAGTATTTCTGTTTTCACTTTCACTGATTTTTACTCTGATGTTTAGTATTTTCTTTCTTCTGCTTGGGTTTAGAAGAAATTATTTTTTGAGTTTCTTAGAATAGACACTGAAGCCACTGATTTGAGATCTTATTTTAGAATACAGATATTAAGGGGCGCCTGGGTGGCTCAGTGGGTTAAGCCTCTGCCTTCGGCTCAGGTCATGATCTCAGGGTCCTGGGAACGAGCCCCACATCGGGCTCTCTGCTCGGCAGGGGGCCTGCTTCCTCCTCTCTCTCTGCCTGCCTCTCTGCCTACTTGTGATCTCTGTCAAATAAATAAAACCTTAAAAAAAAAAAAGAATATAGATATTAAGACACTATGACTAAGAACTGCCGTGACTGCATCCCACAATTGATACATTTTATTTTCATTTTCTTTCAGTTCAAAATACTTCCTAATTTCCCTATAGGTCCCCTTGCCAACAGGTTTTTATTTGACCCATGGGCTCTACAGTATACGCTTTTTAGTTTCCAGGTATGTGGGGATTTTCCAGATATCTTAGTGTTACTGATTATTAATTCAATTCTGGTGTGACTAGAAAACATACTTTCTATGATTTACCTTCTTTAGCATTTACTGAGATTTGTTTTCCTGCCTATCTTGAAAATGTGGCTGGGATCTGAGTCCAAATGCTCTGGGTCCGGAATCTATGCCTTTACCTACTCTGTGGTAGCTGCTAAACAAAGCAGTCTTAAGCAAGACACACAGTCCTTCTGTTTTCAGCTTCCAGATCACACACTTCCCAAACCACTGCTGGAAGCGGGCTCCACCCACGATGAAGCTATCTGCTTCTGCGGCTTTGCCAGTCTGCTCGGGATCCACCTTTCTTGGTCTGACCGGCCAGCTCCTGCCACTTGTTCATGCACTTTTCCGCTTCCAAAACATAGTGTTCATTCTCTTTGTCCTTGTGGGTGTTCTTATTTTTATTGTGGTAAAATAAACCCAAGATAAAATTTACCACTATAACCATTTATCCTTGTAGAGTCAAAGGCATTAAGTGCAATCACTGTGGTGTGACCAGCAGCGCCCTCCACCTCCAGAACTTCTCATCAGGCCAAGTGCAAACACCTGTCCCTCCCCTCGCCCCTGGCACCCACCATTCTTCCTGCTTCCATGAACAAGGATATCCAAGGCCCTCTTAAGAGCGGACTCATAACAACACCTTTTTCTGAACTGGCTTATTTCACTGACCATAATGTCCTCCAGTTTCATCCATGTTGTACATGTGTCAGAATTCCCTGCATTTTTTTAGGTTGAACAATACTGCCTTGTAGGGACGGAGCACCTTCTGTTTATCTGCTCATCTACTGATGAACACTTGAGCCGTGTCCCCCCCGCCCTTGGCTGTTGTGAATCTGAGTGTACAAATACCTATCTGTTCAAGTCTCTGCTTTCAATTCTTTTAGGTAAATACACAGAAGTGGAGTTGATGGGTCCTACGGTAATTCTGTGTTTCATTTTTGAGGAGCTGCCAAACTGTTTTCCACAGTGGCTGCACCACGGTACATTCTCTTGTTGTTGTTTTTCCCTCTCTCCTTTAAAAAGAAAAAAAAATTCCTTCCCTGTTCATTTAGCAGGACTTCAGAGTAGAGTCCGAGAAAATGTATGTGTTCCATCTGACACCTTTCCGTGGAAACCCTGAGTCTTACTGAACACATGGACGGCAAAGGACCCTTCTTAGGGTCTGTGCCCCTCCACAGTGCTGCTGCGTGGGGCACACGGTCTGCGATGTCTGCTGACAGCCTGCAAAGGAAGCCCTAAGGACACAAGTTGGGAAAGGACCCTGCTGGCTGCTGGCACAAAGGTGTGGCCACGTATGAGGCAAGGCTGAGCCAGGGGTCCACAGACATGGGACCTGGGGCTCACTGCACTGGTGCCTTGGTCCCTTGCAATGGTGACCACACACACGGTAGGTATCACACGTGTGATGGCAGAAAAAATCAAAGATTTTTGAGGCCCAGGTGGGCAGCACCACAGGGATCTGGGCTCAGCTCTGCCCTTGCCCGTGACCCTGAGATGGATGCAGTTTTCCTTTCTCCAAGAACAGGCTCCATCCTTGTGGGCCAATGGGTGGTGCCTTCCTGACCACCAGCCAGAGTGCCTGTCCCTGACGTGCCAGTGGGAGTGAGCACAAGGCCTCCCTCTGGCTCAGCGCTGAGCAGGGTCTAGAGCACAGGCCTACCCAGTGACAGTCCTGGGGCTGGTTTCTGGCTGTGAGATCCGATCCCACAGCCTAGAAGCAGGCTCCTGCCGGTGGGACCACACAGACCCACTATCCCTCTGCAGGCTGAGAACATGGGGCGCTGAGACCACCTGGGCCTCCCTCGGGTGGGCAGATGCTCAAAGCCATGTAGGTCCAGGATGACCACCAACTCCCTCATATACTCCAGCCCCATCCCCGTGGTACAGACACTAGGACCAAGGCCCACAAACCTCTGTGCCATGAGGAGTATCCTGCCGGGCCCAGCACGGGGCCTGGAGCTCTAGCCCCCACAGGAGCCCCCGCCGGCTGGCAGGAATGGCCTCAGGAGCCTGTGTCCACTCGCTCCTCACTCACCTTTTTCCTGAACAAGTGCTCCCTGGGGCCCCAAAGGTCATGTGCTGAGCAGTGGACACACACTTTAAGGCCTCTGAGGAAGACTGACATGAACCATGAAGCAAACAGGGGCCCACCCTCTCCTGGGGAGGCCTGAGAGAGTGAGGCAGACGAGGCAGACCCAGGCAGCCCATCAGGCTACATAATCCGCATGTCGGGAGAAACTACCTGGGGACGCCCACCGGCTGTGCTCAGTTACCCTGCTTCAAACACCGCACGCCTCGGTTAAGGGCGTCTGGGAGGCTCAGCTGGTCAAGCATCCAACTCTTGGTTTCGGCTCAGGTCATGATCTCATGGGTTGTCAGAGCGAGTCCCACGTCGGGCTCTGCACAGGGGGAGTCGCTGGAGGATTCTGGCCCTCTGCCCCTCCCCTACCCGGGCACTTTCTCTCTCTCAAAATAAATAAACCCTAAAAACCAACCAACCACCCCCAAAACCACATGCCTCAGTGAAAATCTCCTGGCTTCTAAGATCTGTGGCCAACTGGCTGATGGGCTGGCCGGTGCCTGTGCTTGACCCACCTTCCCGAGGACCCACCACTGCCTGGGCTGCCACAGCACCCACCACTCTGTGCTCCCACCCAGGCCCAACACCCCTGGGCTGGGGCAAGGCCCTGTCTGGATCAAGGTAGACAGTCACTCCCATAGAGGAGCCCAGAAAGTGCGTGAGGGCATGCGTCTGGACACTGGCTCCATGGCCGTGCCTTGGGGACACCCGTGGCTGTCTGGGTGGCGGACAGCCTGTTACAGATGCAGCTGTTGCCTAAGGCCCCGTCCCCACACTCTCTCTAGTGGCACAGGACTGGTGTCAGCTGCACAGCCGCTGTCTGCTTAGCAGGGCCGTGGCCCTGAGTCCTCCCTGGAGCAGCCAAGTATGGGACCAGACCAACCTAATCCATGGCTTTCAGGAGCCCTTGGCAGAATCTGGCCCCATACTTGGCCCCGGGCAGCCCTCGGCAGGTGGCTACCCATGCTGGGCCAACCTCTGACTTCTTGGGGTGGCTCAGGGCCAGGTCAGCTTGCAGTGCCCCGATGGCCCACTGCTCCGGCCAGAGCTGGTGCTGGGCTATGCACGCCTGCCCCCCAGGCTCCTCCCTGCTCTCAGGAACCCTGCTCCAGGGCTCCCAGCCTCCTCCCCCCCACAGCAGATGGCCAGAGCCCGACCGGGGGTCCACTTCACCAGACCACAGCACGGCTGAACCCAAACACAGTGAGCACACGGAGACGCTCATTAGGCAGAGGACCAAGTGCAGAGGAACCAGCGGAGAGGGGGCCGGCTGGCTGAGACACGGAAGCCAGCCCTCATCCGGCCCCCTCCTCTCTGACCTGTTGGCCTGTGGCTGGGGACCCTATTCCAGGATGGCCTGTTGTCCTCCTCAGGGCCTCAGTGGCAGGGAAGGGCCCCCTGAGGACCCTACGTCCCTGTGGAAACTTAGGGCCTGGCCCTTGGAAGACCCGTGTGTCTGCCTAGAGGTGCCGTGCCACATACCTGTGGCCTGCGCAGACCGGGATGCTCTCGCCACAGCCCTTCCCGGAGCCGGCAGCGGAGTCCGGGGCGCTGGGAATCTCATGCACTGGGCCTTACCTTTGGTGTCATTGACGGGGTCCATGTGCCGGTAGATGTAGCCCTCCAGGTAAGAGTGGAACTTGGGTGTGGGTGGGAAGAAGGCCAAGCAGATGGCCATGAGCTCCCAGCCGCGGGCCAGGCTCTCGAGGCGGAAGTTCTCCGTGGTCTGCCGGCACAGCTGGATGTATAGCTCGTCCCGCAGGCCCTGCACGCTCCAGCCCTTGGTGGCTATCTCCAGGGCTACGTGCAGAGGGTCGGCCTTGGCGCGCCGGTCACCCATGTACATCTGGATCAGTTTAAAGATCTCACAGGCCTCCTTCTTCACGTGGCGGTCGCTGGTCACAATCATGGGCTTCTTGATGGACTCACTGCTCCAGGCCAGCATGTTGGCGATGGACACCTTCCGCCGGAAGAGGCCCTGGGTGTGCGTGTTGAAGTGCTTGGAGGCCCAGTTCTCGATGTCGGTCTCTGAGGACGGCTTGCGCAGTGTGAAGGGGGGGAACACACAGCTGGCACTGGGCATGACGCTGCGGGCCTGCCGGCTACTCTCAAACTGGGCACAGGAGCCGAGATCCTCGGACTGGGAAGGACAGAGGGGCGATGAGGGGCTGTGGGCTCCACGTGACCCCGCCAGGAGAGAGGTCTGGCCTCCCCGGCCACCCGGGAGGCTGTTGGAGGAGGTCTGGGCCTCCTCTGGTTCTACCCACCTCATAAACACACGCTAGATGCTCTCACGAGGTCAGGAAGGGAACCCGCAGAGGCCCTTTACCCAGAGGGGTAACGGAGGCCCCTCCCTGTCCCTGTGACTGACAGCTGTGGTGGGTGGGGGGAGGGTGTCCAGGGCAGGTCTGGGGGTGGGAAGAAACCACCCTCGCGCTTTAAGGGCTTCCTGGGCTGACCAGTCCCAGGTGGGAAGAGGCTAGAGACTGCTGCCCGCCCCACGCAGGGTGCCAGGACCTCGTGCATGGTGGAAGGGCACTGCCTCCTGCGCGCCTTGCTCCTGCTGGCTGGCTTCTGCTAGTTCTCTGAGCTCTGAGGCTGAGGAACGGATGAAGATACGAAAAACCCAAGATGCATGGTTCCACAGAGAAACACAGAATCTCACCGGGTCTGCTGCAGTGCCTGCCCCCTCTGTCACCCCCTCACCCCTCCAACAAAGATCCCCAGCTGGGGCTGTGGGCAGGGTGGGGCTGGGCACCGGCATGGCCAGCATGCAAGGTGGCTCAGCTGCTTCCTGCAAGGCTGGGAAGGGAATGTCTATCCCAAGCCCCCTCCCTGCTTCCCTAATGGCCTCAGCACAGCCATACGACACATCATTGGGGTAACAAGGCATCTTTTCTTGGCTTGGACAGAAACGCTGCTCTGAGCTCTCCAGCCTGGAGGGGCACTAAGGCAGCCCTGCCCAGGGACACCGGCCTCCCAAGATCACTGGGACCTCAGGTAGGTCTTCCCTGCTGGGGATGGGAGCCCAACACCAGGAGGCCCTCTGGCCACTGCCAGCTCTTGGCAGATGCCAGGGCAGACCCTCAGGGCCTCATGCAGCAGACTGGTATGAAAGGTCAGGGGTCAGGAGGTAAGAACTAGGACACTGCCCCAGACAAAGTTCTGGGACATCAAGCTCCAGCACATGAGCTAGACAGAAGTTGTACCTGGGTTCACAGAGCCTGACTGATGCCCGTGCCTGGCGCTGAGCAGAGGGGACAAGCCAGGCCAGGTTTCGGCTTTGGCTCCAGCTGCAGCATGAGGTTCTGGCCCCAGGACCAGGTGTCTGGTCTTCCCTTCTCACTGCAGAAGAGCAGCACTGACCCTCCACCTGCAGAGCCCCTCCCCTGACAGCCCACTCACAGGGGAAAACCGAGGCTCAGGGGTTGGACGGCTGCCCCACTGTTTCCCGACTTCCCTGCACCCACGGCCTGGATGGAGTCAGGGCATGGCCTCTGCCCCCCAGGTGACCGGCCACCACTGGCCAGGCCTTCCCAAGAGCTGAGGGCCGCACTGTGCCTTGGGACCACTGCCTGCCCCCCACCGCCCCACCCCCCTGGCCAGGGACCCTGGCAGCAACCCCCTACCTGTGAGGGGTGAAGGTAGGGCTCTGGCGAGGCCAGGTTGGTCTGCACGGAGACGCTTTTCTCAAGCAGGATTTGGGGGAAAGCCAGCCTCTCCAAGGCGCCCCTCTGCCAGTGCTTGCCATCCTGCTGGGCCAGCGCCTCGTCCTCACTGAAGGCACGCACCACGGGCCCCGGCATGGGCAGGGGCACAGCGCCGTCGCTCTCGTAGCCTGAGCCATCCTGCTGGGAGTCCCAGCTGCCCCGCTGCTTCATGTGGAAGTGGGCCTGCTGCGCCTCCCAGGCCAGCCGCGCCTGCGCCAGGAAAGGCTCGGCCTCGCCCGTCTTGCCCTCCGCCCGCTTCACGGGGGCCAGGCTGGGCCCGCACAGAGGCCGCTCCTCGGCCAGGGGCTGCTCCCCGAGGAGATCGCGGTCCCCGGCGCCTTCGGTGGCCGAGGTGCTGGGGGCGCGGCACAGAGAAGGGTTCCTGCTCTTCCTCTTGCGTGTGCCCGGGGAGTAGCTGGTTGAGGACATTGTGTCCTGCTGGCTGGACCAGGACATACTGTCATCCTGGGCCTGGGGCACCTGCATGGGTGGCTGGGTGTGCCGCGGCTCGGGCCCCTCCATGCTGCTGTAGTCCCCGGAGGAGACCCCCAGGCGCTGGTCCCGCAGCAGGCAGGGGCTGGGCTGCAGGGGGAGCGAGCCTCCTCCGGGACCAGGAGCGTACTTGTGCCTCGGGCCTGCGCGCAGCTTGGGGCTGGAGCCCGCCTGTTCCACGTACACAAGCTGCCTCACGTACTCCTTGCCGGCGGGGCTGTACTCCAGGCTCAGGAAGCGGTCTGGGCACCTCTGCCGGGTCAGCACCAGCTGCTGGGAGGGTGAAGAGGAGCCCTGCTTGGGAGACTGGGGGAAGGGGGCTGGCTTGCGGCCTGGAGACCGCTGCGGTGAGCCGGCCTGGTAGCCCCCGCCAGCCTCGTACTGGACGTCCATGGGGGGCTCATCGTAGATGGGGGCCTGGTACTCCACAGGGGGCTCCTCGTAGAGTGGGGGCTCATAGGCGTAGCGTGGGGAGGAGGGCTGGGAGTCACTGGTGGGCTTGCGTGGCTGGGCCAGCAGTGGGGAGCAACTCCCTAGCTCAGCCCTCTTCAGGAAGGGTGAAGGCCGCCGTTCAGGAAAGAAGATGGGGCCGTCAGAGTCCTGGGCGAACGTCTGTAGGCTGGGTGAGTGTTGCCCACCTGAGGGTCTGCGGGAGCGGCTGCTGGCGTGGCTGTCTAGGGCATAGCCATTGCCCTGGGAGGAAAGGAAGCTGGGCTCCCGGTCAGCAACTTTGATGAGCATGCGCTCCTTAGTGCCCGAATTCCACCGAAGTGAGGAGGTCCTGGCGGTAGGGAGACAGGCACAGGTTACCTGGGGGAGGCTCTGGGTGGGGACAGGCACAGGTTACTTGTTGGGGAGAGGTGGGAGTATGGCTGAGCTAGCAACCTGAACCCACTGGCCTGGGTGTCACATGTGTCTCAGGTCAGGGCCCAAGAGGCCTGGTCATTTCTCAGTGTTCTCCTCAATTCCCAAATGGGGGCTGTAGGCTTTTAGGGGCCTGATACTTGCTGGGGGGCTCCCTGTAAATGGCCTGACCACCCTTCATTGCTCAGGCCCTGAGCCCTGGGCAGTGCAGCCTAGGGTAGCGGCCCTCCTATCCTCACACAGCCCCACCCCCGATGCCCATCATCACACTCCCTGCAAGGGTGTGTGTGCACACGCGTCTCTGTGTGTGCACACATGTGGGGGTACGTTCTGGCCACACCCTGTCACCAGGCAGAGAACTATTTCCACAGCAGCCAGGGGTGGCCCTCCCAGAGGCCTCCCTAACCCTGGCTTTGACTTGCTTATTATGCTCCTCAGTCCAACACCTCCCTGTGCCCGACCAGGCGGTGGGCTGCTTCTCACCCCTCAGCATCTCAGGTCCTGTTTTTCAACCAGAGGGTCCTGTGTGCTCCAAAAAGGCAGTCTCCCCTCCTATGACTCTGCCCTCACACATACACACAACACTTTGCCCTGGGCACAGATGGAAAACAGCTTTTAGAGCAAAATCGAGGGGAAAGTACAGTGATTTCCCGTGCAGCCCTAGCCCAGCTCCCGTGCAGTCTCCCCAGCTACCGCCGTCCCCTCGGGAGTGGTGCAGGGCTACGGCCGATGAGCCACGCGGCTCGTTCTGCCCTCCCGCCGGCCGGGAGTGCCCGTCCCCGCTGCCCCGCGTCCTCGCCGGCATCTGGTGTCGTGGGTGCTCTGGATTTTGGCCATCCCAGCAGGTGTGTCGTGGGATCTCGCTTCCCCGATGCATCTCCCCGATGACGTGACGTGGAGGATCTTGTTTGGTCATTTGCCACTGTACGTCTTCTCTGCCGCGTCGGGGAGCTCTCCGGCCCGCTTCCTAACCGTGCCGCTTGTCTCTTCTTTGTATATTTTAGGTAACAGTCCTTTATTACATGCAGCTTTGTAAACACTGTCCCAGGCTGTGCCTTGCCATCTCATTCTCCTGCCACTGTCTTGAACAGCAGAGATTTTCATTTTCATGAAGTTGAGCTGATCAGCTATTTTGCTCGCGGATGGTGCCTTTGCTGCTTTATCTGAAAATCACTGCCACACCTGAGGTCGCCTAGGTTTTCTCCTGTGTCATCTTCTAGGAGTAAGTTTTGTGTGTGATCCATTTTGAACTAATTTTTGTGAAGGGTGTCAAATCTGTGTCTACATTCATTTTTTACATGCAGACCTCAGCCGATCCAGCACATTCATTGGAAAGACTATCCAAGACTATCCTCACTCCACTGACTGCCCTTGCCCTCATCAAAGTCGCCGACTGTACTGTCCGCATCTATTCCTAGCTCTCTACTTTGTCCCACCGACCTATTTCTCTACTCTTTGCCAACACCACATTGTCTTCATTAGGGTAGCTTTGTAGTAAGTCTTTTTTTTTTTTTTTTTAAGATTTTATTTGTCAGAGAGAGAGTGAGCACCAGCAGGAGGAGGGGCGGAGGGAGAAGTAGGCTCTCCTCTGAGCAGGGAGCCCGATGAGGGATTCGATCTCAGGACCCTAGGATAGTGACCTGAGCCAAAGGCAGTTGCTTAATTGACTGAGCCCCCGGGCGCCCCACAGTAAGCCATAAAATTGAGCAGTACTCATCCTCCAGCTTTGTTTCCCTTGAATACTATGTTGGGTATTCTGGATCTCTTGCCTTTCCATATAAATTTTAGACTGAGTTTGTTGCTGTCCCCAAAACAACTTGCTGGGATTTTGACTGAGGTGGCACTGAGTCTACGCGGCGTACGCTGGGAAGAACCAACACTTTGACAACATTGAATCTTCCTGTCCACGAAGAGGGGACAACTCTCCATATATTCAGTTCTTTGCTATCTTTCCTTAGAGTTTTGCAGTTTTCCTCATATAGATTCTTTTTTTTTTTTAAGATTTTTATTTATTTATTTGACAGAAATCACAAGCAGGCAGAGAGGCAGGCAGAGAGAGAGGAGGAAGCAGGCTTCCTGCTGAGCAGAGAGCCCGATGTGGGGCTCGATCCCAGGACCCTGGGATCATGACCTGAGCCGAAGGCAGAGGCTTTAACCCACTGAGCCACCCAGGTGCCCCTCCTCATATAGATTCTGTACATATTTTGTTAGATTTATACCTATAGGTTTCATTTTAGGGGGTACCAATGTAAATGGTATTAACTTCAAATTCCACTTGTTCATTGCTAGTATATAGGAAAGCAACTGACCTTTTAAACTTACCTTGTATCCTGAAAACTTGCTCTAACCACTTATCAGTTCTAGGTGGTTGTTGTTGTTGGTTTTTGATCAGTTCTTTAGGATTTTCTACATAGATAATTTTAGACTGAAATTCTGATGAAAAACTGTAGAGATCACTTGAGGCTCTGGATTTATTTTTGCTTCTGACAGGCAGCCGGGCAAAGGGCAGATAATCTGAACCCCACGTGGGACTGAGCTGACTGGACATCAGGGTTGGGTCTGAGGGCTGGTCTACTTATGGCTCGTCCTGCTCCTGGGTGTAGCCTTTCCGGAGCCCGGGTGGAAACCCGGAAGGTTAACTAGGGCTCTTTCCACAGCCCCTGAGCTCTCACGGTTGGAGCCAATGGAACCACCCAGTGACCAGTTTGGCTCCTCAGCCTCTCAGCTGTGCTGAGGGACAGGCAGCATCGTCTGTGTGCTGAGTAGCACGGACCTCGCCTCAGCCCTCAAGTCTTCACTGCTTAGTAGATCTCTGATGACTTCAGGACAACTTTGTCTATTTTATTCTCCGTGTGCAGGCTGGTGTCAGGTAACTCAATGCAGTGGTGACTGCAAAAGTGGAAATCCCAAGTGTTTTAAGAAACCAGTTGTATGGTTTGCCACCTCTGGCCCTGTCCACTACTGCTGGACCTTTCTGGACAAGGTCATGACTTCCAGTGACTGGGGCTGGGAGAGGGAGGCCTTGGAGAACACGGGCCAGTGACGTGAGACTGGATTGAGGGCACGAAGGCCCTTGCCAGCTGCGAGGCAGCCCACCCCGACACACCAGGTACCTGGCCCACTCCGCACAGCCGGGATCCGACCGTACCAGCTGACAGAGATACCCAGCAGCTCAGTCTCACTGTCCTGAGGCAAAGTCCGAGTGGCAGGACTCGGGATCAGGCTGCCATTCCTGGGGACTCTGCTCCTGGCTGCTGGAAGCAGAGGGAAGGGTGGTGGTTCATGTGTCAGGGCCCAGCAGACCCTAAGAACTGGCTTGGGGATCCAGAGATCTGGGACTGGACTCCAGCCTGCCAGTCCCTGGCTGTGGGGCTTGGGAAAAATCACTTGCCATCTCTGACTCCGTGTCCTCATTTATTCTTAGGAGGGTCGAGTCACAGAATGTGCATACGATGAAGTCCTTAGCTCAGTGCTGACATACAGGAGACACTCAGCGTGAAGCATTCTTTCTGCACTTTCTTCCACCACTCAGCAGACAGTGACCCAGCCCTGGTGCCAGGGCCCTTGTGGGGCTGTGAGGTAAAGAATGATCCTCGCCTGCTGAACAGTACTGAGGGCTGCGGCCCAAGGAGGAACCCTGTGGCCTGTCAGTGGTGGGCCATCAAAATGGTGCCATAGGATGAGGAGGGTAAGGAAGTGTCAGGGTCAAGAGCACACGAGAGGCTCAGATGACACACCTGTTTCAGGACCCAAGAACAGTTCCATCTAGTCAGGGTAGAAATGGGAGAGACCGAGGCAGGGGGAAGGCAGACCCATGGCCTTGGCCTCCACCATGCAAACCGCGCCCCTGGGCCGAGGGTGAGGCCGAGCACCCAGCACCGCAGCGTGCGTGTGCCCTACAGAAGCCACTCCAGGCCCGAGGCCCATGCAGGAACCTCTGGGTCATGGACTCCAAGTCACACTTGGGAAAATGGGCCCAGAGATGGCCCGTGGTCATGGAGAATAGGAGCCCAGCAGCCAAGAGGGGTCTACCCTGCCAGGCTTCACCGCACCAGCAGCTTCAGCTCTCGTCCTCAGGTCAGGCCTTTCCACAGCCCCATACCCTGTGTTCCCACCTGACCCCACGGCTCTGCTCTTCTTCTGGAAGCCCTCTTTGAAGCCCTACATCCAGTTTCCAGGCCCTGCTGCCTGCCTCTAGTGTGCCCCCCACCTCTGACCACTGGGTGGCCACATGGCTCAGCTGCCTGTGGCCACCCTTTCTACCCAGTCCGACCTCCCCAGCCTGCCCTCAGACTTGTGTCCTTATGGTTCCCCAAACCCAGGAAGCCTGTCCTCACCCATGCCTTAACCCCACATCAACTCTACTAGGTGGAAGTGCCAGGCAGAGAGTCACACCGTCTCTACATAAAATGAGACGACTGCTTCGTCTGGTTTTCAGTGACTCTTTCAAACCATGAGAGAAGGATGAGAACGTCCACACACCGGAAATGCTGGAGAGACCCAAGCAGGGCAGAGGCGGTGTGGAAAGGGCAGGAGCGGGGAAAGACTCCATTCAGCTCAGACTACTTCTCCACGGCCTTTTTTCAAAAGGAGAACGGAGAGCACGTCACATGACCACAGCCTGGGGAACTGGGGCCGTGCATGTAGACGCCGGACCCCTGTAACGGAACCTTGCTCATGCGGACAAGAAACGGTACACCTGAAGTTCTGTTTGGAAAACCACCTGAACTATGCAGCCCTCCGACTGCCCCATAACGCTTCAGGCCTGCCAAACCACCGCACCTGGAGTGGACGGGCTGTCTGCCAGGCATCCCAACACTGCCCTTGCCCTGCTCAGGGAGCTGACCAGAACACGGCCTTAGGCGGGTTGCACAAGCCTCCCCCACTCCCCGTCCGCCTTGCAGACCCTGCCCACAGTGCGGGAGGGAGGGCGAGTCTCTTCCCTAGTCCGTGTGGACACTCTACCTTCCCGTTCTTCCCACTCTGGCTGGTTAAGTACCTTTGTTCCTAAAATTGCAATGTTCCGTTTTCATATCCAGCTCAGGAGCCCCCAGGACAGCAGAGCGAGGGCCCCAAGAAGCCACCAAAGACCAGGTGGGCATGTGCTCCCTAAAGGATGTGGGGCACTTGAGAGGCAACCCACCAGAGCACCGCTCAATCCACAGGAAACAGGAAGTCTGAGGGCCTGCCCTGACCTACCTTCACTGCAGCAGGCGCACTGAGGGCCCACCCAGTCAGCCCTCTGCCCCCTGCTTTACCGAGGACACGGAAGCACAGGGGCGAAAAACCCACCCAGCGGCACACACCCACACTTGTGGACCCAGGTAGGCTCAGATCCCATTCCATATCAACAAACCCGCCAGCTCTTCCAAGATCAACGATTCAGCTGTCTGAGCGAACCCCAAAGGCCTCTCAGGTCTTCAGATCCTTCCCCAACCCTGGTATCATTCCTGCTGGTCCGTGTTGAGGGCTCCTAGGCTACCTGGAGGCACAGCACCCCGCCTGGACCTACGGGCTGGCTGAGGATGGCCCCAGTCTGACAGAGGGTCGTGTCTGGAACCCTGCAAGGCCAAGCCAGGACCAAGAGAAACCAGGGTCCACTTCCCTCCTTACGATGAACACCAACCTTCCCAACTTCACCCAGGAAGCGCTCTGCTCAGGCCTGGAGCTCCAGGGGAGAATTCGTGCTGAGGATCCCCCAGGGACTCAGCCCTGTTAGGAGCAATGTCTCCATGGCTCCCCAAACAAGGTGGTGACAAGCTCCTTCCACCTTCCTGAGAGCTGCCATGTGAACCTGGGGGCCACTCCAAAAGGCCTCTGCCCATAGCATAGTGCTGGTAGCCCCATAGCCTCCCCTCATGTCCCTCTGGCCAGTACGGGACCTCACATGCTTCCTGTTGAGCCAGACTCTTCTCCAGCATCCCCAGAGTTGCCAGGAAAACCACCCTCTGGTGAGGAGACAGGACCAAGTGTGAGCCACTGGGTTCTACCTGTAGTGAAGAAGCTGGCCGTCCACATTATAATCCCGGTAAATCTCATAGTCCTTCTCGAGGAACACTCCTGGTGGGGAAGAGCTGGAACACAGGAAAATGAAAAGAAGACATGAGCATAGGTGAAATAATTTTAAAAAACATGGTACATTCAAAACAATTAGCCTTTCACTTTTAGGTATGTAAGTGTCATTCTTTCAGTTTTTCAGGAAAATACCCCAGTGTCCAGCCCACAAAGCTATCCCCTTCATCAGGTCAAAGGGTTACTTCCTCTGCCCTAAGCCTGCCTCGCTGCACACGGCCTGGACAAAACGGACTGGAGACCCACCTGCCCTCCAGCAGGGACAGCTCCACTGTAGCCCTGTCTACAGGCTGGGGGACAGGCAAAGACACTGACTGTCCCATCCTGAATTTTAGGAGCTCACATGACTTGGAACTGGGGCTTCTACTCTAAGGCCATACTGGTGAATTAGTAAGAACCATGACTTTAGGGGCGGTTGGGTGGCTCAGTCATTAAGCATCTGCCTTCAACTCGGGCCATGATCCCAGGGTCCTGGGATGGAGCCCTGCATTGGGCTCCCTGCCCGGCGGGAAACCTGCTTCTCCCTCTCCCACTCCTTCTGCTTGTGTTCCCTCTCTCGCTGTGTCTCTCTCTGTCAAATAAATAAAAGCTTTAAACAATAACAAAAAAAGAACCATGACTTTGATCAGATGACTTGAGAAGGAAGCAGTGTTAGAAATACTCTCACAGTGGGGGCAGGAGGGGGTGTGCCTGGGTGGCTCAGTCAGTTGAACATCCAACTCTTGATTTCGGCTCAGGTCATGATCTCAGGGTCATGGGATCGAGCCCCAAGTCAGGCTCCACACTCATTGGGGAGTCTCCTTGAGGCTCTCCCTTTCCCTATGCCTGTCCCCCTGCTCTTTCTCTCAAATAAATAAGCCTTTAAAAAAAAAAAAAAAAAGAAAAAGAAATACTCTCATGGGGATGATAAACTTCTTAAGAGTGGGATTGTGGAGCATAACAGGCACTCACTATCTGGAAAATATATTAGTGGGTGATTATCTTGGCAGATGTTCAAAGATATAATCAAATTAATGTCTATGATTTAAAAACTCTCAGTAATGGGGCGCCTGGGTGGCTCAGTGGGTTAGAGTCTCTGCCTTCGGCTCAGGTCATGATCTCAGGGTCCTGGGATCGAGCCCTGCATCGGGCTCTCTGTTCAGCGGGGAGCCTGCTTCCCCCGCTCTCTCTGCCTACTTGTGATCTCTGTCTGTCAAATAAATAAATAAAATAAAATAAAATAACAAAAAACTCTCAGTAATTCAGAAGTAAAAGAAAATTTACTTAACTTGATCAAGAATACCCATATTAAATTCAAGGCCTTCACAATTTTAGTAGTAAAAGGCTGAAAGCATAATCATAAAGTCAGAATGAGAACACCTACTCTCACCACCAGTATGTCATAATTTTGGAAATGCTAGTCAATACAATAAGACAAGAAAAAAAAGGAAAGAGATTTAAATATTTGAAAAAGATAAAACTGTCATTAGTTGTGACCCTAGAGAAAGTAAAGAAATCAACGGAACAACTACTAAAGGTATTAGGGAGACTTGTAATGTGTCACTTGTGTGATAGAGGAGACCAACAGCTCTTCTGTGTATTAGCAGAAACTTCTAGAACAAAGAACACCTTCATCACAGCAACAACCACAGAAATATAAAATCCCAGGCCCAAGTTCAAAAGGAGTACGTTAGAGGCGCCTGGGTGGCTCAGTCGTTAAGTGTCTGCCTTAGGCTCAGGTCATGATCTGGGATCCTAGGTTTGAGCTCTGCCTGGGGCTCCCTGCTCAGGGGGAGCCTGCTTCTCCCTCTGCCTGTTCTGCCTGCTGCTCTCTCTGACAAATAAATAATCTTTTAAAAAAAATCTTAAAATAACTAAACAAAAAGGAGTACGTTAGATCAGTATGAATAAAACTATAAATTCTGGGGCCCCTGGGTGGTTCAGTGGGTTGAGCCTCTGCCTTCGGCTCAGGTCATGATCTTAGGGTCCTGGGATCGAGCCCCGCATCGGGCTCTCTGCTCAGCGGGGAGCCTGCTTCCCCCTGCTTCTCTGCCTGCTGCTCTGCCTGCTTGTGATCTCTACCGGTCAAATAAACAAATAAAGTCTTAAAAAGCAAGCAAACAAAAAACTATAAATTTTCTGTTAAGGTACATAGAGGAATCCGAATACATACAAGGTTCCTTGGACAGGAAAACTCAATAATTATGAAGATGTAACTTCAAAATTGGTTAATACACTTAATGTAATTTTAATAACATTTCCAATAGGAAGGAGTGTTTTTAGAACTCAGGGTGTCTGGAAAGTTAACCCCAAAAATAAATAAGTTAAGAGTAACTCAGGACAAGTTCAGAAATTATAACAGGAGAGAACTTTTACCGTTAGATGCTTCACATGTAAACTGGAAACAAATGTGTCCAGCAACGGGAGCTGTATTCTCAGTATTGTTCATGCTGAGAAACAGAATGTTTGTGGAAATACTGTTATAGTATTTAATTTTCTTTTTTTTAAAGATTCTATTTATTTGGGGCAGGGAGGGAGAGCGCAAGCAGGGGGAGCAGCAGGCAGAGCAGGCAGAGGGAGAAGCAGGCTCCCCCTGAGCAAGGAGTCCGATACCAGGCTCGACCCCAGGACCCTGAGATCATGACCTGAGCTGAAGGCAGATACTTAACTACTGAGCCACCCAGGCGCCCCTGCTGTAGAATTTTCAGAACTGCAAAGGTAAATGCCAGGGAACTGAGAGATAGCATTCAGTGGGCTTTACAATTTTTCTTCTGTGTAACTATATGTACTAGAAAGTACAACTAATGTGCATTGCTTCGCTAATACAAAAGTTATTTTAAAAGCTGAATAAATGAATGGCTAATGTTAACAGTGGCTGCTGGTGTTTTTGTAACACATAATCATGCTACAGAACAAACAGCTAGAAACATGAAAAGTGATGTATTAAGCAAACGCAGCTGTATGACACCTGCATGTACATTTACATCAGCTGGTGCATCCCTCCTCCTCCTCCTGGTGGGCCGCCAGCGCCGACAGGGGTCCTGCAGATCCGGGAGCACCTGACTGTTGGCCAGAGCTGCAGCCACAACCCCGCCCGTTCCCTGTGCTCACAGTGGCTTTGTCACATGTGCCCAGGCCAGGCTGGTACACGGTTCTTTCTTCAGAGCTAAAACCAGCAGTTTTTCCACCACCAGACTGCCACCTTCACCGCCTGGAGATACTCCTTTTAAATTTTGTACTGTCACAGACCCCTGGGCCCTGACACTTCCCTATTTCCAATTCCAGCCACCAGTGCTTAGGGCTGTCACCTCTCCTCCGGACTGCTGCTAACCCAGTGAAGCACCCACTCCATGCTAGGTCTGGGCTGGGGGCAGGGAGACGAGGCAGGTGAGGCAGACACACTTCTGCCGCCAGAGCTCCCACTCGGTGCGTGGCCCACAGGGAACGACCCAGAGTTTCAGAAAGCATCAGGAGCCAGACAGGGAGCAAGCCCAAGGAGGGAGGCCGGGAACAGTTCTCTGAGAGGGGCATTTGGGCAGCAAACAGGGCAAACAGGAAACTAGGCAGAGGGATCTCAAGAGGGATAAGCTTGGCACCCCGCAGGACAGAAACGCGGCCTCTGTGCTAAGGGGCAGTGAGCGCTGAGTGAGGGTACAAAGGGGCGCTGGAGACAGATCACACGGGGTCCTCTGGGTGGGCCACATGGAAAGCCTGCCAAGCCACAGCCCCTGAGCCAAAAGCAATCTGTGGCCTAGTTTGTACAGCCGGTTTTGTGGGCTAAGAATGGCTTTTATATCTAAAAAAAAATTGCTGGCAAAATGTGAAAATTATAAGAGCTTTAAATTTCAGTGTCCATGAGTAACAGGTTACTGGAACCCAGCCCCACTCACTGGTTTCTATGTTGTCTGTGGCTGCTTTTGCATGGTAACAGCAGGGTCAAGTCACCCCGCCAGAAGGCAAAAGTGGGGCTCGGAGCGCTTGGTGCTGGGGCTCAGCAGTGCGCGAAGGGCAGAGACGTAGCTGTAACCCCATGGGGTTGAAGGCGTCGCACGTCACCATCTTGAACAGCCTTTGTTATGTTTTTTTAAGATTTATTTATTTGAGAGGCAGGGGGCAGAAAGAGAGAGAGAGTCTTTTCTTTCTTTTTTTTTTTTTTTAAGATTTTTATTTATTTGTCAGAGAGAGAGAGAGGGCACAAGCAGAGGGAGAAGCGGACCCCCTGCTGAGCAGGGAGCCCTATGCAGGGCTGGACCCCAGGACCTCGGGATCATGATCTGAGCTGAAGGCAGATGCTCAACTGAACCCCCCAGAGCACCCCCGGGGGACAGAGTCATAACCAGTGTCTGCATTGAGTGCAGAGCTCGACGGGGGGGGCTTGATCTTACCACTGAAGTCATGACCTGAGCTGAAACCAGGAGTCAGACATTTAGCGGAGGGGGCCACCCAGGTGCCCTGTGTGTGTTGTGCACGCCCACACCACTGCAGTGAGAGAAGCTGGCCCTGCCTATTACCTCCCTGTCCCCGTTGGCACTGCCAGACCAACTGCTCACCACAACACCCCAACTAAAGCAACAGTCAGAGGAAGTTTAAACAGACAGACACTGGACTGGAAATCTCATCACAGCAAAATTACTTCACAAAACGAGAAGGACTCTTACAACAAGTCAGTTTCTAAGTGGCTCATTCATTAGCTAAACAAGGAAAACTGTTCACTGGTGACTGGTTAAATTATTTTTAAAGATTTTATTCATTTATTTGACAGAGACAGCGAGAGAGGGAACACAAGCAGGGGGAGTGGGAGAGGGAGAAGCAGGCTCCCCAATGAGCAGGGAACCCGACGTGGGACTTGATCCCAGGACCCTGGGATCATGACCTGAGCCGAAGGCAGAGGCTTAACCCACTGAGCCACCCAGGCGCCCCAGAGACTGAGATTTTCTGAATGAGAAAATCCTCTCTCAACTGCTATGATCAAACCCCAATGACTGAATGTATGTGTGGTTGGTGTTTTGGAGGGCAGATTTTG